AATAGGGGGAATTACTTGTATTAGCTGCGTTATAGACTGCCAGCAACTTGTTCATACTTGATCCAAATTTTGGAGACGGATGTGTCAATGATGCAATCTGACCGTTCCGGTCTTCGTTGGTAGTACTAAGATATTTTGCATTCTTGCCAGCCAATTCCCATGTCGCGATAATTTTCTCTGCGGTCGCAAGGGTAAGTTTATCTTCATTTAATAACGTTTCCCGAAGGGATTTTTCGCGGACTCTTGCTAAAATACGATCCCTTATTGCAAGATCTTTAAAATCTCCAAAAGAGCAGAATTCTGCCTGTAATTTCACAGACAGAACAAAGTCTCCAACCGTTTCATCCGGCTGTTGCATACGATTATTAAATTTTAGTCTTTGGATCAGTATACTTCAACAACATATTGATATTTTTCTTGGAACTCGAGAAAATAATAGAGAACCATCATAAGGACCCATCGATTCCGGATGTTCCGGATTATGGTTTCATATGGTCAAATTTATTATCTTGCGAGATATCAAATCACATCTACTCGATGAAATATAGCCAATGACACTCAAAACGACAACCGTAGAACCATATGGTCACCATAGAACCGGTTGTGGATACTCCATGTGGTCCATGGATACCATGTGGTCAAATTTGATATATCTGATCCTGGAAACACACATACACACTAGCGCCGCGTAGTGAGAACATAAGGCCTTGATCAACTGAACAACTTTTCCGAAGACAGTAACATTCAGATCGGTTTAGTTTCTCGGCGCCATACCAAACATCAGGTTCCAGGTATGCATACATTCAGGTGTGAAGGGACGTACCGCTGTAAAAAATCACTATTTTGCAGATTAGAGCGCAAAAAATCGTGCCAAATATCCAAATGCACACAAACTTCAGGTAACTACCTTTAGTTTGAACTCAGTTTTCCAGTCTTCATTTCATTTAACAAGGAAGACGCTAATACCCCGTTCACATTACAGCCTATATCACGTAATATAAGCTGTCTTGCAATGAGCACTCATACGCATAGGATTTCCAGTTACCTGATTATCATTCAGTATCATTGGACAATTCCTGGAACATGAAAGTGATGCCATGAATATTTAAAGCTGACTACGAGAGATAGGAAATATGAAAAGTTAAATTCTTAAGAAAATTCCATTTCTTTCGACTGAAACGCAAGGGGGTGGGGGAGGGGTAGTTTTGAAGAATCCTATGACTTGATTGTCATCATTAAGTTCATTTGAATATTTTATTTCATATAACTTAAAGATAGCTTACGCGTCTTCCTTGTTTAGATGAAATGAAATGAAGAATGGAATACTGAGTTTAAACTAAAGGTGTGTGCATTTGGATATTTGGCAGGATTTTTTGCGCTCTAATCTGCAAAATAGTGTATTTTTACAGCGGTACGTTTCTTCACGCCTGATTGTATGCATTGTTGCCTGGAACGCCCTGAAGGGTGGTATGGCGCCGGGTAACTAAACTGATCCGCCTCCAATATGGAAAACCTCGTGATCCTGCACACATAGAATGTTACTGTCTTCGGAAAAGTTATTATTATTAAAAGCTGTTTTTAGGTTAATGCTTTTTATCTGTTTCTGCTATTAGTAGGATAAAGGGATGACATTTAAGGGAATCATGAAAAATGTTGAGCTTTCGCAAACACGGACAGACTTTTGATAAAACAAAATGATACACCTTTTCGAAGTGTGCTACTTACATACACCCTGCATGATTCATTGATTTGACAGATCGATTTTCACATGCGTCAGATCAGATACATCGATTTTTGTGTTGAAGGGAAGATACGTCGGTAACTCAGAAAGAAATGAGTATACTGTCTGTTGTGCTGGGAATATGTGCAGAAGCAAACTGCTGTGACTCATCAAGCTGGGTGGCTGCATCTAAAAAATATTTATAATGTTTATTTTTTTTTAAACATACCTATCAGTAGCTGAATCCCATTAAAATCAATTTTTCATCTACTTAGAATCAACTTGACGCATCTGCTGATTGAAAATGATTGCTTTGTTTTGACGTAGGACTACGTCTTTGATTTCTATATGGGGGTACACTTTGTGAAAACCGAAAATGGCACATGTAACAAATTAAGAAAGATTTTGAACGTTAATAACTCAGCTGCCCCTGGTCCAATTTCAATAATTTTATCACCAATCGATCAGAAATATGGCTACGCATCGATGTTGATTTTCAAAAAGAAATTATTGAAAAACTGGTAAATGTCCAGCATTGTCCAAAAGCGTCGAATTAACTAACAAATCCACCAATTACCTACATGCATATGCTGCTTCCCCAGCACAGTCGTCAGAGAGTAGTAAGTAGACGAAATAAGTCAAAGTGGCATTCGCCTCCGATCCTCGGGCGCGTGCGAATAGGGAGGGTGGAATTGTGTAATATTTTGCACACTCATCGCCATATTCAGAACCAAACGCACATTCTTCGTGATAACCACCATCCGTCGTCTGGCTCACCGTGGCGGTGTCTGACGTATCTCCGGTTTGATTTACGAGGTGTGCTGAAGGTGTTCCTGAAAAATGAGATCCGCGATGCTGTCACTTACACTATACACGCCAAGCGTAAGCGGCCATGGATGTCATCTACGTTTTGAAGTGACAGAGACGCACTCTGTTTGGTTTCGGAGGTTAAATCATCACCAACTTTGGCAACAAAACGGCTCTTTTCAGGGCCACCAAGCTTATTACAGTAAAGAGTAGGAATAGAATTCATCTGCCTGTTTGTCCATATTCAGAACCAACGACCACTCAAAATGCTCATGTAATCAAACTGGAAGCAGGGATACAAATTGTTTTGATCAACCTTGATCAACTTTGAATCACCACGGCCGGATATTTTCGATGGAAGAAGCAACAATCTAGCATCTAAATCGACGAAGACGGCAGGAAACATTTGTGAAGCCGAGTTATTTACGAAAGAGAGTGTCGATGAAGAGAATCGATCAATGTAGAAAGGACCTATTGAAAAGTGACGCGAGATTTGTTTTCCATACTGAGGCAGCTCCCTGTTATGCCTTAGAACATGCCGGTGGCGCCGACTGAGATTGAACCCAGGCCTGCTGGGGTGAGAGGTAATCACGCCAACCACCGGTGCCGATATCTATAACGGCGAATGAGAACGACCCAAATTTGAGTTTAGTTATCTCAGAAATAAGAAATAAATTGCAGGAACTCAGCGATGAGTAAATTTGCCACATGTTTTCCCAGTTTTCCTGAATTTTTCAGGGAAAAATTCCCGAATTTAAGAAAAGTAAAGATTGGATTCACATTGGTACTACTCCGAGACTGAATAAAATTTTCGTCAATTTCCTCATTTTCTGGCTGATTTTTTAGGTTTTCCACAGGAAACCATGAGACAAATTTACTCATCGCTGAGTTCCTGCACTTTTGGCGATTATGAGTGAACTAAATTCAAATTTGGGTCGTTCTCATTAGCCGTGTACGCAAAAGGAAAAGAGCCAGTGTCGCTACTTGATAGCAAACTACTCATAATGAGAGGAGTCTTTGTAGCTGTTATACCACTTGGTTGCACATCATTCTGCTTTAACCTGAAAAGATATAAAGTAGCGCTGCTGTCTGGTATCAGCTCATTTTCACTTCGGACGGCGTGGTGAACAGCAATAGCAGCAGTAGGAAGGTGGTTAGTCTACTTTTCTATAACCCATCAAGCAACAATTGACTGGTCGTGGCAAAGGAGGTGCCAATCGTCATCGCAAATTCTTCGAGATAACCACCATCCGTCGTCTGGCTCCAATCTCCGGTCTGATCTACGAGGTTGTTGCATATCTAGATATAATAATATCGATCATATCGTTTATACCGAATGCCTACTGTTGGGCTTGGCAAAGGTCAAATCTGACAATCCTCTATACATGTAAAACAGTGCACTATATAAGAGCTCCCCACTATTGTTAAACCCTCTTTTATCGTTCAACTATCGAGCTATCAAGAACTGTAAGTAATTTTAATAAAGTATAAACCTAACCTCTGTGTTAATTTAGTGCCCACGCAATCCGAAAACGATAACAGAGGTGTGCTGAAGGTGTTCGTGGAAAATGAGGTCCGTGATGCTGTCACCTACACTAAACACGCCAAGCGTAAGTGGCCATGGATGTCCTCTTCAATAAAACGGCCCTTTTCAGGGCCATCAAGCTTACATCAGTAAAGAGTAGGAATAGAATTTATCTGTGCTTGTTTGTCTATATTCAGAACCAAAAGCCCCCAACGACCACACAAACTTGGAAGCAGGGGTGCAAGTGATTTTGATTGATTCTCTTAATCAACTTTCTCTTTGAAAAAGATTACTGCAAATTTGGTACGCCTACAATTTAAAAACGGAAAGAGTTGAGATAATAGATAATTGATCAATTAAAAGAACTTAAATGCTCTTTACATTTATTCCGTCCACTAGCGGTCCTACGTCAAGCTTCCGTTCGTGCCCCTAGGCACAGACCCTTCTACTTTTTTCATATATGATGTTTCACTGAAGCGCATCTGTGGTTTTTATGTTATCATCAAATTTTGACAGTTAAGTCACGTTGACATGAAAAGGGTGTATCAAAACCATTTTGAAAACAATGAAAGAAGACCACATAGGGCGTTCATCAAAAATATTTTCCATAATTCATTAAAGTTTCAAACCTTGATTTTCATTAACTCGTAGGAAAAGCATGTATTTAATAATCGGTTAGAAGCAAAACATCGATTTGTTTATTTTTGCGACTTACGTCATTTTAACAAGCAATGCTTGAAATTTTCCTTTTCTAAAATCATTGGTACAGAAACGGTTAAAGAAGACTACATTTAGGCGAATACCAACAACAAACAATATTGAATTGAGAGCCTTATCTTATCAGCGCCGAGTTGAGATAAAATGCGAATATTCCACTTGTCTAAAGGCGAAAGGCGTGGTACGATAAGCGCTTAGTCGAGTTTTGGCAGCAGGTGCAAAACGGTCGTCTGTTAAGACTCTATAACAGCAGACAGGTTGTGATTCATTTAAATAGTTATTTTAGGAATTGTAGTGTTTTGATGGAATATTTGACGAATTTAGTGATTTAAGTGACTGTTTCGGAAGTAGTCGTAAATAGCAAGTCGTTGCAGTTGAAGGATTATGAAATTCTAAGAAGCGAAAAAAAAGGTGAGGTGAAATCAAATATGGCGGACGATCATAAAAGTTGTGCAAATGACTGCGCCCTGAATGTGAATCAAATTTTCGAAAAAAAAAACTTTGAACTGTTGTTGCGTGGGACATGTGATCAATCTGAATCTTTGCATTCTACAAATGTGATAAGTTAGGATTTACGGCATAGTGTTCAGACGAAAATTGATTTCATCATGGCTTTCCGGGGTGGGGAAACTGAGATAATGAATTATGAGTAATGTTGATTCTAGTCGGAGGAATGTTGCACCCATACAACTTCAGTCGAACAGTGAATTCGGGGAAGCAAAGCCTATATCTTGCGAACAACGAACAACGAAAGGGGAACCGTGCCTTGCGCAGCTAACTTCAATTCCCACTGGGCAGATAAGATAGCACACCGATGGGCAAACAACTTTAGCAATAGAGGATTTGCAGAAGGTGAAAGCGGTTTACTTACATCGTGTTGGAAAATTGATTGAAGAATATTGAAGTGAGGGAAGTTTGTAGAGTGATAACATTGTTAGTTGCAGCACCAGCAAGTGAGCCCTGATTGCCGATCGAGTGATTGGAAATAGATTTTATTATAACGAATGCTCGAATGAAGAGATAAGAACTGCATTGTGACAACCGTGGGCTAACAATGTCATAATTCAAGGCATTAATAGAACTTCACCTGATGTCTATTTTGTAAGGCCTTTAAAGATGCTTGTAACAGCACTGAAAACGAATCTAACTCCAAAGATTGAGTGACTATGATGTAGACATTATGCGCTGAATGACCTACACGGGAATGAGAACGATCCAAACTAGAAATTAGTTTACTCATAATCACCAAAAGTGCAGGAATTCAGCGTTGAGTTAATTCGCCTCATATGGAAAACCGGAAAATGAGGAAAATAAACGAAAATTTTACTCAGTCTAAGAGTAGTACCAATAGACTGAGTGAATCTAATCTTTACTTTTCTCATATTCAAGAATTTGTTCCTGGACAAACCTGGAAAATACGAGGAAAATTTACTCATCGTTGAGTTCCTGCACTTTATGTGATTTATGAGTAAGCTAAACTCAAATTTGGGTCAATCTCATTCGCCGTGTACGCTTTTAGAAGTTTCTCCATACGAAGGTGTAAAAGTGACTCACTCTCTGAGTAAGATGCGTTTTCAGTGAGAATTCTGTTGACTATTTGGTCAAATTCTTTGCAATTTATTCGGTAGGAAGATTGCTACTCAAAGGGTTTTGAGAAGCAAATTTTCAAGGAAAAATATAAAAACATAGTGCACCTTCTGTCTACAAATCATTAATACCATAAGAAAAACAAATACAATCAACCATCTACCCAACACTTTACAGGCATTTTTCCGTATCCGAGAAATTAGGAACCTGTGAATATTAATTAAAATGAAATTATGCACGAAATCGACTGAACCAAAATGGAAAACCGATTTGATTTGCTTACACTGTCAAAGTGCAGAAAATTTTCTTCAATCATGGCCATCTTAGGCTTTGTCAAAATGGTAATCGTCATATATTTTTTTTTCCTTGATTTGTTTTCCGTCGATTATGTTTTCCGTGCTGAGCACCAATGCTACCGACGCCACGGAGGCAGCTCCCACACCTGGACCCTATCTATCGACCCATCAACTCATGAACCGGGGACCAACAGCTTTACTGATCAGATATGTTATGCCTCAGAACATCGCGGCGGCGCCGACTGGGATTGAACCCAGGCCTGCTGGGGTGAGAGGTAATCACGCTCACCACTACAGCACCGGCGCCGTTAATCGTCATATTTCAGAAAGGGGTGATTTAAATTGTATTGTACTCGAGCGTAAATAGCTGGATTAATAATAAGGCCTTGCTGTCCAATACTGTTCTAAGAACTCGTCTTCATTCTGCTCGATCCATGGCCACACGTCGCCAGCTTCGTAGGTCGCCTTCTGCTTGGTTGAACCACCTTGCCCGCTGCGCGCCTCTTCTTCTTATCCCAGTAGGGTCGCTTTTGAGAACCAATTTCACCGGGTTGTCATCCGACATTTTTACGATGTGCTCAGCCCTCCGTAGTTGCCCGAATTTGGACGATGGGTGTTTCTCCTATCAGCCGGGGCAGTCCGTGCTCCAGTCGCCTCCTCCACGTTCCATTTTACATCTGCACTTCACCGTAGATGGTCCGCAACACCTTCCGTTCGAAAACACCACGAGCATAGTTCAGATCTCACCCGGCAGGCCCTTTTCAAAAGTTACGCGTGTATTATTCATGTGTTCATTTTTAGTAAACAGGGCCCCGCTGTTACGTCACTTTTTGTCGAGTGAGCGAACTCAACTCCATCCGTGCACTCGTCTATGCACGATTCCGAGTTGTTTTCCGATGTCCCGATGAGAGAGTTGAGGATTTTCCAGGTGCTTGCGCAAAATCAATTCGCGACGGTGCTTTTCGGTTGACACTAGAAACACTGGAATAAGAGACCAGCGGAGACACTGTTATGATTCCAATCGAACTATCAAAAGCGGTTCCAATCTGCAATGTTTACAAATGGTTTGCTTCAATTAGGGAGGAGTATTAACATAGTTTAACAATGACTCATGAACTCGCTCGTCGGTGTATTGAAGTCACTCGCAAGCAGTTACAAATGCAAGTAATGCCAGGATTGCTTTGATGTTTATCTTGTTGCCAAATTCATGTTTTTTTTCTCCGCTGGTCTCTTATTCCAGTGTTTCTAGTTGACAACATTTTTTTTCAACTTTCAAAAAACTGACAGCGATAAAAATACAGTGTAAACAATACACTCTAAACTACTTCTACTCGAATTTTTTAAGAGAAAATACCCAATGGGTAATTTTCTACAGCGTTTTTTCCGTGATGCAATTTGATGTGGGACACCCTTTATTCCCACTTATCTCAATTTCTATATGGAGATTTTTATTACTTCCTACCAGCGGAACAGCGCCATCTCTGTGGAAAATGGCCTGACGATATGATTGATTGAGGGGTCACTCTTATTGCAAGGAAAGATCTAAACTCACTTTTTTTACAGTTCCAGAGAGCGTGTTTACACGGAAACTTTCATATACTCATCGAATTTCAAAAAATTAAACCAATTTTTATCTATATCTTTTCTTCTGCCGTGAATATTTAACCACTTTTAAGAAACCCGTACATTATCAATGATTTATGATTCCATAAATGTCATGACATTCCCCTCAACATAACCTCAGTATTTTCCTTTCGATGCTCTAAAAATATCACCGAAACTGCATTGGAACACAGGAGTTGCCTTGAAACTCTTCTATAGGGTGTCCCAGAAAGTATAAGCACAGTTTATTATTGGAATAAAACGACGTTATGTCAATGAACCCTGCCCTTTGGATCAGTGAGGGATAAGTCGCGTACTGCCAGGTTGGTCGAGGCAGATTTCATGTGTGAGTAAGTGATGAACATAGTTATTTGTTGTTTATTAATTTATTTGATAAGACTCAAACGAATTAACTTTACAGAGCCGAGGATTCTTGGTCACTATACAATACATCTTAAAACTATAGTCAAAAGGTACAACACAATAAACACTTTATCTTCCGCTATCCAAAAAGCTTCCTCCATCAGATCTGGAGTCGCTTCCATTGGTTTCATTGTATGGCAGTTTCGCCATCGAGGGGCAAAACGCTTCCATTGCAGCAATGGACGCAAAACGTGGTCAACACTCACACACTCATCACGAAACGGTTGCTTTCCAAAGTCGACGACGCATCGACCGAAAGAACTGCTGATGAAGAACAATGAGGAGGACCACACAATGGTTGCTGCCGAGAAAATAGACGATCACGTGGCACACATCGAGAGTGGCCTACTTTTGTCGACAGCCGAGTGAACACTGAGATGATTACATGATGAACATTGTTATGTGCAATTCACTTTAAAAGGTGCGTTTCATATTTCATCTCATGTAGTTCCGAAGAGCCTGAACGAAATGTGGCGCTTGCGAAGATCACTTGAAGATACAATATGACGGAACATTGATACTAATTTTGTATAAAACGCAAGTAAATTCTTACAGAAATTAGTTAGGATAATATATTGAAAAATGTGTTTATTGTCAGTGAACAAATGTAATGTTGCATTGAAATACTTTAAATAGTGTTAAATTTAAATGTTCCCTCATTTCACAACCATTGAACCATTCTGAAATAAGAAATAAGATGAGAGACTTTCGGGAGACTAGTAGCGATTGAAGCGATTTGGATGGGGAGAGTGAAATTGTCAACTACCTGTTGTTAACATCTCGTGGAAAAAGGGCGGGCTCTTCTCCTCACTCATTGGGATATCCTTCTGTCGGACAGCTCGTTTTTGACCAATTGTATAATCATGTGGCTGGAAGGAGATTCTTTACCATCCTGTGGAGGCGTATAGGTGAACTTACCTATCGATCCACCAAAACCGTTCTTGGCCATTCATACAGTGACATGTTGAGGACAATCAGAGGTTATTAAGCTTGATCAAATCAAACAGTGAGGAGCGCCCACTGCTATCGGACGTAGTTTCCGTTCTGCAATGAGTGGTAGACAATTATCATCATCATCATCAAAACAACGTTACGTCAATGAAGTCAAATTGTTATTCCATACATATGTTCTCTATAGTATTCTCTTTCAATTGGGTGTTCCTTTAATCGTATGCCAAGGAGAAAACTTTTGATCTAACGCTGCCCATGAGCTTCAGCACAAATTCCTTGGCGATAATTTTGGCCACTTTTGTCCAGTCTTTTTCCAATTCTTCGATTGAATTCGCTGCCTTAAAGTGTTTCCGTAGATATCCCTTGGAAAGGGCCCTCACAGTTTGGATTAACCAGACCTCCCCTCCAGACAATTCACATATTGCACTTTGTTTGTACCAAGCTACCGTATCTTTCGAGTAGTGCATTGACACCAAATCTGACCAAAATAGTACTGGGCCATCATGGTGACGGATCATGGGTAGCAGACAACGATTCAAACACTCCCGAACG